ATTGTTCATCTTGTGATTTCTATGAATGCAGTATTTGCTTGTGCTCACTGCTGATTTACAGTAGTTTGATCAGCAGTTCTTGTGGTTCTATCTATTCCTCTTATGGCTTAAGAAGCTCAGCATCTTTTGGTGACAGTTGACTTCCTGGAAAATCTAGACCTCCAATTCCCAATAAGCCCCTGAAGAAGAATGGTTCACCTTTCGAAAGTGCTCAGGTTATAGGGTTTTTATTCAGTTCTGTTTATTAAATGATGTATGAGAACAGTTTATGAAAGGTTTTGCTTGTATTCCATGATTAAATGTGGGATAAGCTAGCTATTTGTAGAGTTGCATTTCCTTCCCAAAGTGATATTTTTCTTGGTTATTATTGAAAGCTGTTTAATTATACTATTAGGCTGTCAAGAAATTAATGTTGCTTTTTTTAGATGAAAAAACCCGAATAACTTGTATATCAAAACAAAACATTTATTAAATGAAATAGTTTCCATTCTTATCGATGAGGCTTTTCCATCTTACAATCAGGTTGTTAATGCCATGATTAAAGAAATCTCTTGGTTTTGAAGCAAAAAACATGTTGATGTCCTCTTTAACACCTTCCACATTTGCATACATTTTCCCATTAAGATGGTGTTACATCAATCAAAAAAGATGGTAGTTGGATGGTGCCATATCTGGAGAATATGGTGGGTGGGGGAGAACTTCCCACCCCAACTCCATAATCTTGTATTACATCAAACGTGCCACATGTAGATGTGCATTGTCATGGAGAAGAACACCTTTCCGATTGACAAGTGAAGGACGTTTCTGATGAAGGGCTTGATTTAACCGTTCCAACTATAGATCTCTGCATTGACAGTTTGGTATGGATTGAGGAGTTCAAAATGAATTATTCCTTTGATGTCCCACCAAATTCAAAGCATCACTTTCTGCTGATGGAGTCCAGGTTTTGAGGTCGAAAGTGGTTTTTGTCTAGGACTGAGCCATTGTTTTTGGCATTTAATATTCACATAGAGAATCCATTTTTCATCACCGATGACAACTCTGTCCAAAAATAGTTCATGCGGATTATGTGCCAGAAGAGACGAAGCAACATTCACACGTTGGAAACAATGATCATCAGAGAGTTCGTGAGGCACCCAAACACCTTCTTTGTGGAGTTGTTACCAAATTCCTTAGATGTTTATGTGTTGTTACATGAGAGACATGCAATTTGAGGGCCATTTCACGAGTGTGTTGCTATGGGTTAGATTCAACAAGCGTTTTCTGAGCATCAATATCAATTCCAACATGTTAGCCCCAGCCATCACAGTTTTTAAGACTAAAGTCACCTGAACAAAATTGGCTGAACCATCATTGACACTTACGAACATTCAAAACATTTCCATAAACTTCTTTGATATTCTTTGTGGTTATAGAGGCATTGTTTCCCTTCTTGTATTTAAACAGCATTACTTGCCGAATGTGTATCTCGTTGTGTGCCATCACTATAAGGGATTAGAATATACTAAACTTTACACATTATATAGGCTACACTAACGTGACGTTTAGGCGGTTCGTTTAACTATTATACGTGATGCATGTTCTTTGGGGGGGGTAATGCAAGTGTTCCAAAATGCGACATTAATTTCTTGACAACCTAATATTAATACCCTTTCCATGGCTTGTGGCTTTCTGTCATTATAATTAAATGGTTTTTTTTGCAAGATATAATTGAGGATTTGTGCCATAGGCCATGCTCATAACTGTCTTTTGTAATGGATCTGTGTCCAGCCATCATAAAAAATCTTTAGACTGTCTCACTTCCCTGATTAATCTTATCTTCCAGTGATAGTATGACCACACCAATACATCATTGGGGGCTTTCTTTTTCCCCCTTGCTGTGGATGTTCATCTCTTGACAAATACTTGTGCCACAAGCTGGGGCATAGTTATGGTCAACTACTGAATGTTTGGAATGTTGTTTCATGTAAAATCCACTTCATATACTTAATTTCTAAAATTATGATTTGCTCATTAAGAATTATTTGCTTTTTGTGTCTCTTTTTCTTGGATGGTTTTTTTATGTATTTGTACAGCTCTATCATTTTATTTTGCATAAATAAACAGAAAGGTAATTTTTCCATGGTTCTCTGTTTTTAAACCTTTGTTGTTACTTTTAGTATGAATCCATTCTGTTGATATTTAAGTGTTATGAATTTCCTAGTAGATTGTCTTTCACAGAGGGAGATGGTTCTTCTCACAGAGTTGTCTTTACACCCATTTGTCTTTAAGATCAGATCAGTTGTTACATTATTGATGTCTTTTTGATATCCCTGAATTATAAGCTTTCCTCTCCTTTAGTCCAATGTGTCATTGTATCTGGTCATTAGTTTGTCTTTTATTTTCTTTGGACTGGTTTATTTTTTATCCTGATTATTCTTTCTTCAGATAAATGTAGCTATTAATTGGAAAAGGTCATTTGTTTCCCCATTTTATTTTTTCTTCCTTCTCATGTTTTGTGAATCATTCTGATTCAGGTAGATTGCTATATCTTTTTTGGGTGATTGGTTACTTTTGAGTACATGTGGATTATTTTCCTGGAACTAATGTTTCTGTGTATTTTGTCACACTCATGAATAAGCTGTAGTAGAAGCTTCATACACGAAGTTTATTTAATGGTAATCTGTGAAGAGAATTCCACATTAAATCTCATCAGCTTTGACATGCTGCTGTCTCTAATATCTGTGGCTCATTATTCTCTGAAGGATATTTTATGTTAATAGCTAAATCTATGATGATGATGATTATACATCTTAAATAAGAAGCCTAATTAGGTGAGTTCACTTACCTCCTTAAGTCTTATATCAATTAATCCAATAACTTTGCTTGTTCCACTTCTATCTGTTTATGTATGTGTCCCTTTGTGACTAGATGTGGCTGACTTTGATGAGGACTGCTCACTTGTACTCCATCATCATCTGATTTTAAATGCTGGACATAAATAGACTATTGAACTTCTGGTTCATCATGAAGCAGTTATTAATAGTATTGTTTATTTTGGTCAAGAAACCCATTTGAACCAGTCTGGCCATTTTTTTTATTGGTAATTGCACTAAGCTTTGATCTTCAGTAAGTACTCTTTTTACCAATATAAAAAGGATACTGTTTTCATTTCACTTAAAGGTCCTACTTTCATTTCTGCGTGGGTACTCTATCTAAAATACACAGAGAATAAAGTTAATGTATTTCAATTTAACATTTTTATCATAAATGAATTTTGGTTAGATACCTGTGCACTATTCCATCATCACTACACCTAGTTTGTTTTCCAATAGAATGATAATCTTTGAGGAAGATTGTTGGCTGATAGCATTTAGAGCATGTGCTGACATGAGAAACAAGGTTATTGAAAAAAAATATCTTTTTCTGGTTGGAAATTCCTATTAACAAGTTTCCTGAATGTGACATCATGAGATGATTAACAGGAATGATGGGAGTTTAGATTAGCCCTGAAATTAGCTTGTCAGAAAATCTGTTATACATATATAAATATCTACTTAAAAGTAGTATTAATACAAAAATTTCTTATTATGTTTACCATTGGAGCCTTATGACTGTGGTTATGAATATTTCTCAAATAATTCTGAACATGTAAACTTAGTTCCTGATGTTTTTTAAGATTAGATAGATATGTAATTATTTGTTTTTGCTTTTTCACTTATCATTAATATGAAAAGGTTGTTTCTGACACACACACACACACACACACACACACACACAATATGTATATATATTGCCTGTTGGCTAACTCAGTTTAATCAAATGCAGCACATATTGTAATAGAATATGCTTGAATGTTAGACTTCATCTTACTGAAACTTATTTTTTACAGTTTTTGTTATTACTGGCAGATTGATCTACGTTAGTTATACAATAAAATACCTCATACTTTTAAAGCTGAATATATAACCAAATTCTGTATATTTGCTAAGCTAGTTGGGGTTAAATTGTTATTTTTGCTATCCCCTGTACAGCATATGTTGTATACAAATGTTTTTAAAATAACGTTTCAGAAAGTATTGTTTTAAACACTGTAGTTGTTTTTGCACTAATCCCTTTTATTCAACATTAGCACCTTGTTTTGCTATTTAACAATACCTAGATGACTGGCTTTAGATACAGAGCATGATGCTTGCAATCAAATACCTTGTGGATCTTACTGATCCATCTTTCCACCATTCTAGGAACACAGATTGAATTGTACTAGGTTTATGTATTTTATTTATATACAACATCATGTATGTTATGTTCAGTGTGCAATGGCTATAACCATTTTGGCAGAAAGCAGTAATAATTTGAATATGTAATGTTGATTTGAAGTAGAGTACACATAATTATGAAAAAATGAAACAACCATGAATTCCAAAGAATTGTTCAAAGTTGTTTTATTTGCTCAATGTTTCAGCTTTACGCCTTCATCAGGAGCTTACAATTTCTGTGACTAAAGATTTTCTGGATGTCATGGTCATTTCATTTATTCATAATAATTTGAATAGTGGCAAAGCAATTAAATATGTACTGATATCATGCAAACTTTTAACTAACATGATGTATAACTTTGTTATAGTGGAATTACATTTAGTCCACACATATACTGTATACAAACAAAATGATTCAAGTAGGCATGCTGATATACATGCCTACCATTACACTAAACTTCCATGTTGACTCTAAATACCATAAAATTTCAATTTCTTAAACATATATATCTTACTTGGCATATATATATATATATATAAATTTTCGGATTGCAAATAGCATGCTTTACATTTTCACCATTTTGTGTGTCCAACTCTGATCTCATATATATATTTGTATGCTTGTACAGTACCAAACTTTTGACAGAATGGTTTACAAAAATTAAATTAAAAGAGAATATTTTGATGATATTTTGTATCTAAAAATTTTTCATTTGCAGAAAAGTTGATATCAAAGAAAATTTAAGTAAAATTTATTTTCAGCATGAAGCTTGCAATCATGGACATAAACAGATTGTTGAAGTGCTGCTTGATCATGGGGCATTCATCAATGTTCCAGGATTAGACAATGACACTCCTCTTCATGATTCTGTGAACAATATGCGTTTGGAGATTGTTGAACTACTAGTAACTAGAGGAGCTGACATACATGCCAGGTAAAAAAAGTGATATATATATATATATATATATATGTATTTTTATCCCTATAAATGTAGGTCATGGTATGTTTAGATTATAACTTTTACAATAACTCTGCAAGGACTAGACATTTGAGGAGCTAGTATGTAGGAAAACAAGCGTAGTGATTTGTTTGAGGTGGATTAAAGGAGATAAGGCAATGGTGTTGGAGTCAGAATTAAAATAAATCTTTATTTTTTGGAGAAAAGTGTGAAAGAGTACAGGTGATCATTGAAGTGGATGAAAGAATTGAAGCTTATGTAGCTGTGTGTTAGATTGAGTTTTAAATGGTGTCTATCAATTACTAGTGGATTAACCCTTTAGCTCATTTGGTATAGCACTTGCCTGGGGTGCAAGAGATTATGGGTTCGAACTTGTATACAGGAGATCCTAAAACTGAAATTACCATAAGAAAAACTGGAGCTTAACTATTGGTCATTCCACAATCCTGAGAATGGGCATTATTTATGAAAAGTTAAAGATGAGGTATTTTGAGTTTTTAGAAAGTGCCATACAAAGTGCCAAACAAAAAGAAGGTGACTTTGGTATAAACTGCCTTTTATTTGTTTTCTTCAGATGATTCATCAAAAGTGTGATGTTTTGGGTCTTTCCCCAGTTGCTTTTGAGCCTGCACCTTAACTGATGGCTGAAAGGTGAGAGCGATTATTTAGTTTTCACTTTATCCAAGGACATTGTGGTTCATGCAGGGAAGTTAATTCTCAGTTACGTGAAGGGACAGTTAAGCCTTATACAACATGTTGTCTGAACTTCATGATTTAGCTTACCACTGCCAGGTGGAAACATATTTCAACTCTCAAATAATACTTCTGCTCCTTGAGTTTAGGGGTTCTAAGGCATAGTTTGTAGTTAACCTGAATAAATTAATGTCCCCTAGTGGGACACGGTAAGTCTGTGGACTTACAACTCTAAACTCTAATGTTTTGTTTTACTTATACTTCACTTTGTTGGAACACTCAGGATCACCAACTTCTATAATGACGAGCTGGAACCATTGTTTGCATGCACATTTGTTCAATTGTTGGCATCTACATTTATCCCTGTTGATGTTGGCATCTTGAATTTCATTGTCTCCTACAGGTAGTCATAGTGCCGCCCCTACTTGAGGGTCCCGACATGAGTTTCTCAGTACATTGGTACCCAGAATAGATTCTGTCTCTAACTAAGGGTTTCACAGTTTGGCTAGATTTCCGCCAGTGGCATCGGTGTTTATTGTATACCTTTGGAGTCTGTGGGAGATTGGCTTGGAGAACTTCTGGACATTTGATAACTTTAACCATGGATCCAGGAGCACTGCAGGTCCTTGAGTCAGGATTAGTCATTTAGTTCACATCTTCACCACTATTATCCACCCTACCTGTAGAGTTTCTATCTATTGCAGATACTTGGGGTATTGGTATTTAGTTCTAGGGCTATCAGAGTTTAATTAACCTGGGAGTAGTGAGGGAGTTGTGCTTGTACTTCTGGGGTTTTATTCACATCAGTTGTTGGGCCTAAGAAGACAGGAAATTTGTGTCCAGTCATTAATCTTTCTCATCTATTTCAATGCCTAGATTTTCTAAGGTTCACCAGTTACTCATTCCTCAATATGAGTTGACATTTTTTATTGGATTGTGGATGTCCAAGTTCGTTGTAGGTGGCTCCTGTCTATCCCACCTCTATATGCATTTTTGTGCACAAGAGTCAGGTACCACAGAGTTTTTACCCTCTGACTAGCATCTGCTTCACATGGGTTCTGCCGAGTTGTACAAATTTTTTCTCATTGCCTCCATTCCATAGCACTGTGCACACATCATTCCATAGATGAGTTGTTACTGCTGGTACCATCTCCTCAATTGTCAGAACATCACACCCAGATTGTACTTTCAGAAACAATCAAAACAGGCCTCATTCTCAGAGTTGAGATATCTATTCTTGCTCCACTTCAATATGTCACCCGTATGAGTATTTTGTATTTCCTCATCAAGTTTCTCAGTTGGACTCAGATGACTCCCTGTCCAGCTCCACACTCTGGAACAGGAAGCCCGACTCTTACCTTTCCTTCTCCTACTGCATGGATGGTTCTTTCTCTTCTGGGAATATGTGAGCATCACTTGAATCCCTCATGCCTTTTGAACGAGATCATAAGAGATCCTTTTAATGGTCTTTATGTGACCAAGGGATCATAAGCATTGATTCACTGGATTCCCCAGTTTCCTTAGTCAGGGTCATTCCTTGATCTCAAGGGGGTTGTTAAATTGGGACACTACTAAGGTATAGGTTCCTCTGCCACCACCTCGTCCAGAGTTCCATATCTTCACGAATGCCTCGCTTCAGGGATGGGGTGCATATATAAACAGTCAGGAATTCCAGGGTCTATGCACAGATGACAATGTTTTAGTTCTTCTTGCTCTTCAAAAGACAATGCCTCATAGTCTGGGCTTATTAAGGGGACAATCGTCAGGCTTCACTCTGACAATTCTGTGGTATCTTCTGTTTCTCGAAAACAAGGAGCACTTGGTCCAGTGGTCTTTGTTTTTGAATCTTGGACCTCCTTTCTCTGGACCACTCATATATCATCCCACTAGCTTGCCAAGTTCCATGGGTGTTGACTGTGGTAGCAGATCAATTGTCTCAACCCAAACAGATTCTTCCAACAGAATAGATGCTGCATTGCATGGTTCTGTTGGATTGGCTCTCATTTTGCATCTCTGATTGGGAGTTTGGTCTCTCATTGGAACACCCGGCTACTAGCAAATTGGTCTCCAATACCTCACCTTCATGCTCATGCAGGGGATTACAACTCTAGGCCTTCCCTCCAATTCATGTTACCCAAGGTATGATTTGTTCCAGTTCATTGTCTGGTCCTGTTGATAGCAACAGATTGGTAGTTACATCCTGGTTTCTTCTTGTGCAGTACCTTTGGGAGTGTCCACCTCTCTCACTTCTTTTTCAGCAATCTCTGTGGAGGCAGGTATGATCTGATATGGTACACTCGGCTAACCAGAAGTTCGAGCATCAAGCATAAGAGGTTATGCAGTCTTTTGCACAGCATCGGGGGTTTAATTTCTAGGATCGCCATGTGTCTGTGTCAGTTTTTGCTGCTTTGTCCTGTGATTGTCATTTCTCAATGGAAATGACATGCATAATAGCAATGGTGTATTGAGAGATTTTTACCCACTTCCATCGGAAGTGCCAACCATAACTCGTCTTTGACTTGGCTGTTTGGCAGGGATTTTTTCATCTTTCACAATCACCCTGTATAAGATGGTCTTATCAACCACCATTTATTATTCTTTGAGTCCCCAGTACTCCCGACATTCCTGGAGTCGCTTTGGGTCCTTTGTCCCTAATAACCATTCCAATTACCTAACTGGTATATTAAGGTTACATTACATGCCCCTTTTCAACAATAGTTGGTGACCTGATTCTCATATGCTATGTATCACCTTGACCTGAAGGTTTCTTTTCTGTTGCTGCTGACCTACAGACATTGCCAGTCAGGGTGGTTTGTGCTATTTGTCACAGACCATTTTATCATTCTACCTATGTCCTCAGAACAGTTATTCTTACCCAAGACATTCTCAGACAGAGAAGGGGATAAATCCGTTTCACAATTCATCTTATCCGTATTTCTCACTTTTATGACTGATCAGATTTCAAATGTTGTCATGTTCAGTGAGGATTGAAAGTTTTGTTGCTCATGCTAATGTATTTAGAGATGCAAGATAACGACTTTTTATTCTGGGCTCTCTTTGAAGGTGAGGAATATTCTGGGAATCATGTCTAATCAGACTTTTCACATTTCTATGTCCTTAGCAGCCTGTTTGAATTGCCCACTGGAGGACATTATGCAAAGTGATATGTGGACCTCTCCCACTACCTTCATCTCACATTACTTGCATGATCTGGCAGTATCTTCATCTTAACCATTTTGACTAGATTATACAGAGGGGTGAATATTTTCAGTGCTACCTTTCAGGGTCCCTTACCTTGTTTTCACAGGATCCCACTCTCTGGCGAGTGTTGCCCAAACAGGTGTGCTTTTATCAAACCAATTCTGTACTAGCAACCACTAATTCAATATACTTTACCTAGGTTGTAATAGACTCTGTAGAAATGAGGAGTTCCATAAGACCACCTAGAGGCTGACCGATTGATATTACTGTACTATGCTGGACCATGATTTTGAGCCTGGAGTATTGCCTTTTGTACTTCTTCAGGTTGAGGAGAAGGTTTGTCCACTTCAGTGTTACTTACCTTCTGGTGGCTTGGAATGCATCACTCTATGGCTACAGGTTGGGATCAACTCATATTTATATATATATATTATGGTCCAATTGCCCTAGCCACCAATGTGGGATACAAGGACCGTGGCCTTATAATTCCAACCCCAAGCAGTGGAACCTTAGCTATGTGGTTGGGGCCTGGCCAGTAGTAATGACAAATCATGCAAAATTCCACCCACAATACACATATTAAGTTCTGGGTGAAGAGCATATCTGATCTGGATGCAATGCAGTTTCCCCACTAGGGTGCCAATCTTCTATTGACATACCCATGATCTATTCAGATGCTTTCTGCATGAACAATGCCTTCACTGGCCCCTCCATCCTATCAATGTGGGATTCTAGCTGTAAGTGTGAGGGGAGGTAAATATGTTGTGGAAGTTCATATTTTCTTAAATCGAAAATGCATTTCCAATAATACTTACCTCTTTTCATTCTCCCGCCCTTCCTCCCAGCTAAGAATCGATGTTAGAGACTGGAATTGAGTCAATTTCGAAATAGGGATAACATTATCTGAATGATAATGGCAGGAGATGGCTTGAATGGGTAATGAAGAAAAACTTTAATATAAGTTTAACATAATAGCAAATGTACAACATTTCGACAAGGTTTTGTCATCATCAGGTACAGCTCTTACCATTTGCTCCAGCCATTATTAGTCTCAAAGTGGGTTCCTCGTCATTGAATTATCT